CCTTCTTTAACAGGACGATCTCCATCGGGACGCGCGCGCCATTGGGCTGGAAACGGAGGACATGTTCGTTTTAGTGACGCTGTCATTTATTATTTATGTACGATATTTTAGATACAAATAATATGAATATAATCCTTTTAATTAAATACTCACCAGCTCTCCCCATTCAGTAACACGATCTTTTGCCACATGCTTGATGGCAACCTAAAAATTGTAAATAAATGCATTATTAAGCAGTGAATGACATTATATTTGCATTATTTTTATATGTTATACACACACGGTATGAACATTCTAAACGTTCACACTCGTGTAAACAAAAATACTCTATTCAGGAACCTACCGGCGCGCCATCGGCGATCCTCAAACCCGCATACACCGTCCCAAAACCGCCGCTTCCCAGCACAGAGCCGACCTGATACACCTTCTCGAACGGCTCTTTCTCCTTAACTGTCGATAAAAGATACGATAGATTCGTAAGAATTGATAAAAGACGTAAAATTATTTAATAATTGGAAATCTGACGCACGCGCTATTCCCAACACTCAGTCTGCTGACGTGAACTAGCCCAAGACCACAACACACACACACACACACACACACACACACGTGAGAATAACCGTCCTCTAACCTTGAAGCTGGATTTTCGCCGGCATGTCCACGGTGGAAATGTGAGCGAATGTGTTCAATTTTGATAGAAGCATTTTATAATCCGAAAGGCGAGTATTTCTTGAGGGTTATTCCAATGTTGAGGTCGAAATCCGTCGTGTAGAGATGGATGTAGGGAAGGTCTACTTGAGGGATCCGGTCTAGAAGCCTGTAGAAATCCCTTCTCATCGAGGCTCGATGGGTTTTGATTCTTTACTTTAAACGACCGCACAAGGTCTATTCCAGTTTAGAATATGAAATTAAATAAACAAACGAATAATATATTTCGAAGATAAATATTATTGTCTGAGGTGCTCGACGGACACAAACACCCGGCTTTCTAAATCGTGAGGGAGGGGCAAGAGCCGTTATATACCAGTAGTAAAAGGGAGGCGTGGCTGCTAGTACGTCAACGGTGGCCCCGCCCACAAACACGATTCAGCCAATGAGTAATGCGCCTGCCTCTGCAGAAAAAAGTCAATCAAATATGAAAATAAAGGAAAACGTAGACGTGGCGGGAATCAAAACGCGCCAAATAGTCGAGGCTTTTTTTTGAGGGCGTTTAGCCGGCGTGGGGCAGACAGGGAGAATGATTCACATGGGCCATGGCTGAATGTATAACAAAGCCCCCATTGCAGATTCGGAGTATTATTTCAGAGAAGTATGAAGAGTACTACAAAATAGATGCATGCTTCGTACATACATATTAATATGTACAAATGCATATTATATACATATATATACTTACATAATATAAAATATATATTTTTAAGTATAGACAGATAGATCGAAAGAGACTTTAGTACAGTCACAATATAATAGTACATTTGAACATGGACCACAAAACCAGTCATAAGGGTACATTTTTTGAAATTGAGATTTATATACATCATCTGAAAGCTGAGTTTCCATTCATGCGTGGATTGTTAGGACAGATACAACTATTTAAAAAACTGGAATCTGAGGGTTAAAAAAATTAAAATAAAATCTAATTATTGAGAAAATCGCCTTTAAAGTTGTCCAAATGAAGTTCTTAGCAATGCATATTGCTAATCAAAAAGTACGTTTTGATATATTTACGGTAGGGAATTTACAAAATATTTTCATGGAACATGATGTTTACTTACTATCCTAATGGTTTTTGGCATAAAAGAAAAATCGATAATTTTGACCCATACAATGTATTGTTGGATATTGCTACAAATATAACCATGCTACTTAAGACTGGTTTTGTGGTCCAGGGTCACAGGTGGACTGTAAACACGTGTACCTGAATAGAGAACAGAAAACAGAAAAATGCATTTAAATTTATGATTCTGAAATCCAACAAATGCAATAAAACTGCATATAAGTCTTTATTTTAGTACCTGATACTACCAAACACTAAACCAAACACTGTAGTAAAAGGTGCGGCAGGAAAAAGGTGTGTCGTGTTTGAACATTATTGTTATGGTGCAGCATTATTGTGCACAGTCATGTGCTCGGGAGCGTGACGGCAGGCGCTCTCATGTGGAGAAACTGGTTGCCATGTGACTTGTGTTTACAAACTTTGAGTTGTAATAATTCCATTTCCCACCAGCGGGGGCGCCAAATCCACAACCAAGCGAAATGCCTTTTCCCCAAAGCAACATAATACAAAAATAAACAAATCATCACGCCGAGCGATTTATTAATGGCTAGTCAACGATGAAAGGGGGTCATAATACATTTATCAAGTGATTAATGCCAGATATGTTTGATACACTCGTTTTAAAACGTTAAAGCATCGCCTCAATATATAAACATGCACCCCTCTTAGAGCTTGACAGGATTTCCAAACCTTACAACCATCGAATTTCAACCTCTAAACGTATTTAAAAATACATTAAGCAATTTCTAGCCTATAATCTTGGTTTGTTTATAAACTTTTCCCCTCACAAAGTCGTACTAATGTTTACAGATTTATTTTTTTAAATAAACATTTATATCCACGACACAAATTTCCATGAGGCTAGATAAGCACGTATTTTAATTTCCCCCGCTCCCGCCACGTTTTCCGTGACCGTGGGAACCCTGGCTTGAAGGTCATGCAAATGGCTCTTACCGTCGAAATCGGTGTAAACGGTGTCTTTGAGTAATGCCCCCGATCCAAAGTCGATGAGCTTCAGATCACCGGTTCTTAGATCGATGAGAATATTCTCGTCCTTGATGTCACGGTGAACGACGCCGTTGTTGTGGCAATGACGCACCGCTTCCAGGACCTGGCGGAAAAAGTTCCTAGCGAGCACCTCCGTTAACGCGCCCTTCTCCGTGATGAAATCAAACAAGTCCTTGACGGTCTCCGGTCTTTCCATGACGATAATGAAGCTGTCCAGTCGCTCGTACCAGTCCAGCATCTTGATCACGCCACGGAATCCAGTGCCGACCTTCTTTAACAGGACGATCTCCATCGGGACGCGCGCGCCATTGGGCTGGAAACGGAGGACATGTTCGTTTTAGTGACGCTGTCATTTATTATTTATGTACGATATTTTAGATACAAATAATATGAATATAATCCTTTTAATTAAATACTCACCAGCTCTCCCCATTCAGTAACACGATCTTTTGCCACATGCTTGATGGCAACCTAAAAATTGTAAATAAATGCATTATTAAGCAGTGAATGACATTATATTTGCATTATTTTTATATGTTATACACACACGGTATGAACATTCTAAACGTTCACACTCGTGTAAACAAAAATACTCTATTCAGGAACCTACCGGCGCGCCATCGGCGATCCTCAAACCCGCATACACCGTCCCAAAACCGCCGCTTCCCAGCACAGAGCCGACCTGATACACCTTCTCGAACGGCTCTTTCTCCTTAACTGTCGATAAAAGATACGATAGATTCGTAAGAATTGATAAAAGACGTAAAATTATTTAATAATTGGAAATCTGACGCACGCGCTATTCCCAACACTCAGTCTGCTGACGTGAACTAGCCCAAGACCACAACACACACACACACACACACACACACACACGTGAGAATAACCGTCCTCTAACCTTGAAGCTGGATTTTCGCCGGCATGTCCACGGTGGAAATGTGAGCGAATGTGTTCAATTTTGATAGAAGCATTTTATAATCCGAAAGGCGAGTATTTCTTGAGGGTTATTCCAATGTTGAGGTCGAAATCCGTCGTGTAGAGATGGATGTAGGGAAGGTCTACTTGAGGGATCCGGTCTAGAAGCCTGTAGAAATCCCTTCTCATCGAGGCTCGATGGGTTTTGATTCTTTACTTTAAACGACCGCACAAGGTCTATTCCAGTTTAGAATATGAAATTAAATAAACAAACGAATAATATATTTCGAAGATAAATATTATTGTCTGAGGTGCTCGACGGACACAAACACCCGGCTTTCTAAATCGTGAGGGAGGGGCAAGAGCCGTTATATACCAGTAGTAAAAGGGAGGCGTGGCTGCTAGTACGTCAACGGTGGCCCCGCCCACAAACACGATTCAGCCAATGAGTAATGCGCCTGCCTCTGCAGAAAAAAGTCAATCAAATATGAAAATAAAGGAAAACGTAGACGTGGCGGGAATCAAAACGCGCCAAATAGTCGAGGCTTTTTTTTGAGGGCGTTTAGCCGGCGTGGGGCAGACAGGGAGAATGATTCACATGGGCCATGGCTGAGTGTATAACAAAGCCCCCATTGCAGATTCGGAGTATTATTTCAGAGAAGTATGAAGAGTACTACAAAATAGATGCATGCTTCGTACATACATATTAATATGTACAAATGCATATTATATACATATATATACTTACATAATATAAAATATATATTTTTAAGTATAGACAGATAGATCGAAAGAGACTTTAGTACAGTCACAATATAATAGTACATTTGAACATGGACCACAAAACCAGTCATAAGGGTACATTTTTTGAAATTGAGATTTATATACATCATCTGAAAGCTGAGTTTCCATTCATGCGTGGATTGTTAGGACAGATACAACTATTTAAAAAACGAATCTGAGGGTTAAAAAAATTAAAATAAAATCTAATTATTGAGAAAATCGCCTTTAAAGTTGTCCAAATGAAGTTCTTAGCAATGCATATTGCTAATCAAAAAGTACGTTTTGATATATTTACGGTAGGGAATTTACAAAATATTTTCATGGAACATGATGTTTACTTACTATCCTAATGGTTTTTGGCATAAAAGAAAAATCGATAATTTTGACCCATACAATGTATTGTTGGATATTGCTACAAATATAACCATGCTACTTAAGACTGGTTTTGTGGTCCAGGGTCACAAATGTGCAACTTTAAAGTTTTCCTTGTATATTGCATTCAAGGAACACAATCAGTTCACATGTTCAAAGAGGAAGAAACAACATGTAAAAAGTATTCTGCAGTGTAATGCAAGCCACGTTTTCCTTTTCTGTACATAAAATGCGTCATCATCCCAATGGACAGCACTTTTGTTTTTGTTCCAGTCATGTGAAGTAGGTCTACAAAGTGCATATGAAGACCGCATGCACTGCATTACCTCATTAATCTCAAATTAGCGCGCAAAGTTTTTTGTTTCTCCTATTGGCGGGCAACAGGCCGAGAACAATGCCGGGCGCTATGGAAATGAGGTGCATACCAGGCATTCTTTCAAACTGGGTGGCCGGTTTTAAACTCGGCGGCAGGATGTGGGAAACTTGAGATAAAAGACTCGCAGACCCATCCCCCATGTCTCTTGTCCTCTCTTTCCCGCGCAGATTATTGTTTGAAAGGCACTTGCTCTCCCCATCTTCTGTATTTTCCCCGCCCTTTGGATATACGCCTAAACATCAACAAAAAAACTGATGTAAACCTATATTATGGGGGTTTCACACCTGGTCACTTCATCTTTACTCATTGTATAGTTAAGTAGTAACTATACCAAGTACCAAGTGTAAATGCCCTCAAAGACCCATTTGAGATGTATAGTAATCTGATCACTCAGACTCCCTCAGGAGCTGGTTTCAAATACATACAAAGAAGCAACTCAGCCAAGTGTAATTGCATCTGCTTGTTCAGGCCGCATATGCAAACTTTACTCCTCCCAAACAAAACAGCATCAGTATACAGAAGTTTGGGACACGTGGATGAGACACGTAGATGGAGCAACTAAAAAAACTCAAAACATTAATTGCCATATGGGTTGAAGAGGGCATTTAACAGAGAATTTTGTTGCCCAGCATTAGCATCATCACGGAAGTGAACTCTGTTATATTTGCAAATAGTGTGGGAAGGTTGTATTTATATCTGTTCTGCGGAGACACATTTGCATAGCCAAGTGTAAATAGAATGTGCATATCCAATCAGATAGCAATTGATCAAAACACATGAAGTGACTAAGTATTTTTAACGTGCAGCATTTTTTGAATGAGATGTTCAAAAAAGCTCATTATGCTGCTTGATATCGCCAACTGGTATTTCTTATCATACTATTTAAATATTGTCATAATTATAAACACACAGGTTTGTCATGCAAACAGTTTTACCGTCTACTGCGCTTTGTTATTCTTCTAGTTGTTTACCTATAGCAGCTAATGAATTGGAAGTCTTGTACAAAGAAAATAGCTTACTTCTGCATTGAAATATACATGGATATTGATTCCAAATTTATTTAAACACTTAAGTCACACTTAAAAATGAATGTAAGAATGTCATTGCATTTGATAACAAATTACCAATATTGCACCACTTTTAAAACTTATGTTATACGTTATATATTATACATTTTCATATATTATATAATATATATAGATATACAGTATATTTAAATTATACATTTTTAAAATAAATATGTAAAATAGTTTGTAATTTAATACAATGACATTCAGTCTCCAAAAAAGGGTTATTATTGTTAACTAAAACTATTAAAAACATTTTTGTTAATTGTGAATAAAGCTGATAAAATACAAAACACTAGATGAAAAACTTAAAACTAGACGAAAATGAGAAATGTTGCCTTAGCTACAAACTGAAATAAGTTTAGGCACTAAAATTACTAACTGGAAATAAATAAACACTGAAATAATAAAAAATAAAGAACTAAATAAAAATCTAAATAAAATTATTAAATAAATAATAAATGAATGATCTAAATAGCAAACAAAAAACTAATAAAAAACGTCTCAGGTTACTTATGTAACCATGGTTCCCTGAGTAGGGAACGAGACACTGCGTCCTCTAGGGGTCGCTATGGGGAACGCCTCGTCGTGACCCGTGTCTGAAGCATAAGAGCGATCTATTCATCTCATTATGGCGAGCACTAGCAAAGCGTTTAAGGATGTGTGCATCAGTGTTGACGCGATGCCTCCGAGGGGGCAATCCTGCATGCTCTTCGCCCAAACAAATAACGCATAGATCGTGTGTGTCATCAGATGTCAAACAACGTCAACACTGATGCACACATCCTTAAACGCTTTGCTAGTGCTCGCCATAATGAGATGAATAGAGATCGCTCTTACCACAGAAATGCATGCTTC